ACTGTTTTCATTATTTATATTTAACAGGTGATCTGGTGTGTCCTGTGCACCTGTCACATTTTTTATTGCAGATTTAAAATGCCCCCATATGAGTAACTTTTATTGGTGCAGCTGCAAGGAGTGAGATGCAGAGTGAAGCAGTATATAGGCTCAGTCAGCCATCCTCTCGCTTTGAAAACAAGTGCAATGAATGATGAATATCATCCATCCTTTTCTCTGTTCATGTGTTCTTAGTGAGCTTATGGAACAAAGGTGAATGATTGACTCTAAAGTTCACTCTCTGTCTGCTTTTTACATTTAAAAAAAAAAAAATTGGGGGGGCGGAGGACAGGAAACTGGGATGTAAAGAGTCCCTTTTTAAAGCTAAGATGATTAGTGAGCATTGTGGTGGGGTTGGAGGGTCGGTCTAACATAATCAAAGCCCAGTCTGTCTGTGACTTGACCTCTTGATGCCACACTTAGCTGCAGCAAGAAGTTCTATTGATTGTAATTATCATTTAAGTATTTTTAGACTTGTGTGCGATAACTACACTAAAAAGACTTGCGCAAAGCACATGCGTATACAAGTTGATTGTAAGGATTGATTGAATAATCCAGTTTAATTGACGAGGCAGGTGTCTGACTCACTCACAGCTGCCTATATGCAGTCCATTTTGGTTCTAAGGCAATGTCCACAATCAGCCTACTGGGGTGCCTAATTACACACGATTAATGAATTGCGCACAGAGAAAGAAAACGCCACCAGATCTGTCAGTGTGTAATAACATAGACCCACTTGATATATTAATCACGACTAGTAAAAAGGACCGTGGGACAGATCGCCACCATAAGCGCATCAGTGTCCACAGCGCGCAAAGAAGCGCACATGAAGAGGGAAGCGCGGCGTCCTGTCGCCTCTCCTCTCTCCTGGAGGGCAGCAGTGATGCCGGAGCCGCCTATATAAGAGCTTCCAAGATGCCACTGATCGGTCATTCATGCACTTGCTGCCAGCGCTTTTCAAGACATCGCCTTCCTCTGCCCGCACCGTGCAACGTGTGCTACTACGACTACTGCGCGCTCACATGTAGACCCACGCTTTCAACTAGCACAACTCAACATTTCTGGCGGATTTCTCTCTCCCGTGTGCCAACCATGCGCGTCGGCCAACAAGGACTTCAAAACAAGAAGTTTGTCAAAGAAGAGTCCCAGGGCGCACAGGATGCTCCACAGCTCCACATGAAGTTGTGAGTGTGAGAGAAAAAGATAAACAACAGGATTTTCTCTCTCGGTTAGAGTCACCAAGCAAGTAGCCTACATTCTGGGCATGGACAATGGATACTTTAAGTCTGTCAGTGAACGCGGTGTCCTACACCGTGGCAGCCGAACCCTCCACTGCTGATGATCCGTTTAATGGACCCATCAAGAACATCGCGCCGTGGAACTTCACTGTCCTGGCCGTGCTCATGTTTGTGGTCACCTCGCTGTCTCTGAGCGAAAATTTCCTCGTTATGTTTGTCACTTTCAAGTTCAAACAACTCAGACAACCCCTGAACTATATCATAGTTAATTTGGCCATCGCTGACTTTCTGGTCTCCCTCATCGGTGGAGTAATAAGTTTCCTGACAAACGCCAGGGGTTATTTCTTCCTTGGCAAGTGGGCTTGCGTCTTGGAGGGGTTTGCTGTCACTTATTTCGGTAGGTTTACATGTCTTTCCTTTTTTTTTCCTAGTACTGTAATTGCAAAGCTGCACAAGACAACTTCCATAACTGTAGGTGTCAGTGTTGGTGCTTTTTATCGTGTACTACACATGCTGCATGGAAGTGTGATGGCTCTAAAACAGCTCCACATGGCACATCCTCATCTATCAGCACTAATATCAACATCTGTTAATAAAGCAGGGCATCTGTGAGGGAGGTAAAATAAAAGTGACAAATCAATTCCACTTCAGGTGTTGCCAAATTGAAAAGTTGATTGAACAGGGTGTCAGTAACTTTGCTCAGTTTCTTAGACAGTTCATATCTTGAAGTGAGTGAGAGTAACAAACTAGTTGCTGTAGTCATATGGGAATACTACTTAAGAATATTAAGTAAAATTCACAATGTATGGAGCACAGCAAAAACATTACATTAACTACATATTACGTTGTTTTTAAATGTGTATAAAGAAAACTGTTTAATCAGGTCTTCAATCTATTCCAGCTTGTATAATGTGCCCTTTAAAGCTCATCCCCCATAATGCAGCTCTGCAAGTGTAATCTGCATTATGGAGCATATGGCAAACAAAAACTACAGCACAAGGATTGTTATGATGGACATACTGTGTGCAAAGTAAAAATGTATTCTAGATTGTCAAGATGAAAAACAGGAAAGGAGATCAGGCAAACAGCTGAAAAAGTCACTTTCATTAGTATAATTAACATGAGCCTATGAAGTAGTTTTTTAAAAACTGTACCTGCATCCTATTTGCTGCTTTACTGTCTTGTGTGCAGTAGGGTAAGTAACAAAAGACAAGTGTGAGTCTTTCAGGCAGAATTCAACTGCACATTTAGGAGCCTCCTCATGTACTGCAGTGCATGACTTGCCATAAGTAGGTTACAAACACCGTGACCACCAATAACGTTTAACTAAGTCACTGGATTTGGGTTTGTGGTCTCTACTGAAGCTCTGTTCAAGACAGAAGACAGAGGTTCCCAAAGTGGGATCCTGGGCGTCTGATGAGAAGCCTACAGTCCAGGAAATCAAGAGAAAGGAGAATACTGCATTAATTCAGGCAAAGGCTCCTTATTGGATTAGGTAACAAGGTTTGTGCGATTCCAGTTTGGCAACTTGGACAACTGACTGAGGAGTGACAGGAAGTCACAGGATGTCACAGGATATCTTTATTGTTGTCAGATTTATTATCATCAGAAAATATTCATATTGTATATAATGAATGGTCAGGAGAATATTATCAAGTTACTTTCACTTGAAATAGTTTAACTTGTGGCACTTTAATGAGATGAGTGAGTTACAGCATGCCACATGGATCTGTGCTAGACCAGCATTACACTGTGTGTTAGTAAGTCATATGGGAAATAGATACCAAAAAGCAGATGACAATGAATTAATATTGTACAATATAACATGGTTTAATGGATATATTGTATGGTGGATCCTGGTGTATTGGGTCTTATGGACTAAATTAGCATACTAAAGAGTACAATTATTTATGATTAAGGAGTGTATGAAAGCAAATATAGCAAGGCAAAGAGCGCTCTAGCACACTGTAACACAAAAACACATTCTGTTAGTAGGATGAGAAGCGCTAAAAGAAAATATTTGACGTATTCAATTATGATCGAGGAAGCCATGCTGATGTATAATCAATAAGCTACTGAAATGAGGCTACATCTTCCAGGGACTTGTGGTGGAAAGCCACTCCAATTTGAGTCTTGACAGCAGTTTCAATGATTGATAGATGTGTTGCTTTGGTATTGCCCGTGTGTGTGTAGCACAAGGATGCCCTTTGATGGTCACTTTTAGTCTACTTTAAAAAGCTAGAGAAACCGCATTGAAGCATTGGTGTTAATTTTAATAGTGAACCTTTGCAGAGGCTCTTGTTTAAATGTGTGTGTGACATAATTGAACACCCCGGTTTCCACCTTTCTCTTTTGTCCTCTCCAGTGAGCCTAGTAGGCAGACACTAGGAGTACCTGGCTGTGGAGAGATAGGTAATTAACCGGTCTGTGAGAGTGACTTATTACCATAATTAAAGTTGCCTTTTTTTTAGCCCATTAGGAGGCAGCCCTAATGCACCAACCCTGGATCATTAAACTATTTCTAGCAACAGTGCTGCCACTTTTACCTCTGCAAAGTACAGATTTGGGATACTTTGTGAAAAATTAAGAAACGTGATTACACTAAAGGGGGACATCTTGGACCCCAGTTGGATAAGTTCCAAAAGCGTAGATATAAAGAAACTAATGAGATTTCACACTCTGGTGGGAGAGGGAGGCAATCTAAAAGGGATGCAAATACACACATTATGTGCTCAAATATTGTGTCATTCATTTCTTTAGGTTTATTAATGTGTCAAATAACAAATAAAGAACACAGAGCTGTAATTTTCATAGTTATTAAAAACAAATTCCAGGATTTGGTGGCATGTGTTTCTACACACTGACCCCCTGCTTTTTGCCTCAGGGATTGTAGCCATGTGGTCCCTCTCTGTTCTGTCCTTTGAACGATTCTTCGTGATCTGCCGGCCTCTGGGGAACGTCCGACTGCAAGCGAAGCATGCAATCCTGGGTCTGCTGTTCGTCTGGACCTTCTCCTTCATCTGGACCTTCCCTCCTGTGCTAGGCTGGAACAGATACACTATAAGCAAGATCGGAACCACCTGTGAGCCTGACTGGTGAGGAATGAGCATTTTATTATTTCTATACTCCACAAAGAGCTGAGCCAACACAGTCTGTCTAGCTAGCTGGTAGGCAAATGTTCTGAGTACACGACCAGAGATGTAATCAGGCCTAGCAATGTTTCTCACATTTACTCTTGGATACCTCAAGTGGTCAGTCCTCTGGAGGTGGGGCAACCTTGGCAACTGACTGTTTGTTGAGGAAATCAAAGCAAAGAAAGTGTTAAACTCATCCAGCAGTGAGGCTTTACTACTGGTTTTGTAGCCTGTGATGGTCTGGATTGGCTACCACATGTGCTTAGTGAGTGGTAGTAGTAGTGAGTAACCTGATAGAAAGGCAGCTTTTATGGCTGTCAATAAGGTCCTCACCTATACATTCATCCATTCATTGGGGAATGATTTTATTAACACATTTGCTGATGTACAATTTAACTGATAATGCATATACCTCTAGGTTGGTGTGCTCTTAAAGCAGTCCTGTAGAGCAGTGGAAGCTTCATCTGTTCACAATAACAGTTGTTTTCTGATGGTTTGATCCTTTTAATCAGCTGGGAGTAAGCTGGCAGGAGAAGCAGAGAAATGTGGTCTGATTATCCAAAGTTGGGGCGAGAGGGCTTTGTAGCTGCCAGGAATGTTTGTGTAAGCATGGTTCAGGATTTTGTTTGCCTCTGGTAGGGGTGAGGACATGGTGGTGAAATTCAGGTGAAAGCTCTGTTTGGCTGAAATCACCAGCTTCAATAAAACTACCTTCCAGTCGTTTTGTCATGTGACCTTTGGGGACCTCATGCAGTTCCTGTATTGCATTTTTAGAATTTGTGTCTTGAATGTAAACAGCAGTAACAAAAAGACTGGCGAATTCTCTCAACAGATAATATGGCATCTTAACATTAAGAATTCAACATCTGGATTATTGTATTTACATTTTTTTTTTTAGATTATTTATAGTCTGTCAATTTGGACTGTGTTTGAGCATCATTTACACAAGTAAACACAGTCCAACTCCCCTCGTCTGACCAGTGTATTTTCTTGAAAACAGCTGCTTGCTGCGGTTGGCAATGAGGTTGATGAGAGCGGTGAGACTGAACCAAAAAAGTGAAGTTGTGGGTTGTAACACCAAATTACTGTAAAATTAAAATTACTCCTAACCCTAATCTAGACTTTAACCTATACTAACCCCAATGATTCAGCCCAACCTTTAGCCAAGAAATTAGTCTGCATTAGTCTTTTTTTTTTTTACCTCACACCACAACAGATAGATTACAGACATTCTACAGTCAGCCCTGTGGCTTGGATCTACATTGCTGCTTCATCCATATTAACTCACACTGTGTGAATGTGTCTCATGGAAAAAGTTAAGAAACAGGTCGACTCTGACCTTGGCCCTCAGGGTTCCATCTGCATAATGCTATTTAGCTGCTTTGATCAAAGGCGTGGAGATAGGGGGCTGAGTGTTTGCCTCAAGCCCTGTAAGGGAACCATTGCTCAGATGAAGCACAGGGGGAATGAATGGTTCAGACAATACAATTAAGACATCACCTTATGGAGATACCCAGCACATAGATGACCTGATCCACCTTTGGCTGCACGCAGCATGAGTTCTGTCAGAAAACATTTGGTTGACAGCAGGAGCGCGAGCAGCACAGTTGAGGTCTGCAATGTTGCCACATGCACAGAATAATGCATTTTAAAAGCCTCATTTATGTGCATCTTTTTATCTCTGGATACATGCAGATATTCAGCACTGGACGGCTTCTGAATGTTAAGAAGAATACATGCAAGGTTTTGAAGCATTGCAGGAGAAATTGGTGTCAGTGGATTGTCAGTAGGTGGCTGCATCCTTGGTGAGGGGTTAGAATACAATGTACCACCAGTATGCTGCTGAATTTCTTTAAAACCCCTTCTAGTGCTCAGGTATTGGCTCATTCATTTATTGTAAAGACACACACAGGGGAAGGTTGCCAGCTCAGACGTCAGTAACCTTTTACACCACCAGTGTCTAGCCTTTGTGTTTCTGGGGACCGGATCTCACTGATTACTGTTCAAAACCACACTTTTTTAGTGAAGTGCATCCGACTGTGCGTTACCCTGAAATTCCATCGGGCACGGCGCGAAAACAACTTGGCATATTCATGTCAGATACCTGCAGCACAAAAATTACTCAAAAACAATTTTTTATTCTAGTTTTGTTGGAATAAATTGCATTTGTGTGTAGAAAGTTTATAAAATCTGCAGAAAAAATTAATATTCACTCCCCCTGTTTTTTTAAGAAGTGGGGATGGCTACAATACAATCACCTAAAACATACATAAAAAATAAACCTGTCAACATTTTTAAAGTCACTATGTTTATGATTTAAACATTTCATGTCTTTGAGTCCCCTCGTGGTTGAATCAAAAAACCACCTCTCAAAAACTCAGTGTTGCCATAACTTTTAAATGTGAAGCAAAACTGAGCTCCCCAGTTTAAATGAGGAAGTTCACTCTGACAGTCAGACTGTTGGTGAGCAGGGGCACCTGGTGGAAAGACTGAGTACATAATTAGATTTTTTGGGATTGTTTGACAGAATTCACTGGACCGGTTCACCTCATCAAAAATGACAGTTTGGCTGGCGACAGCAGTCTTGGAGATGACTTCAATGCTGTCTGGCTCATATACAGAAGTGGCTCATTAGGTCACTGAATCTCAAATCACTTTGGCCTCCTGACCAAAAGATGGAGCTGCTGGGGAAACTGAATGCTTCATTTGGTCACGTGCATCAATGACGGATTCAGATCTTTGTTTAAGTAATTTATACATTTCATCAATGCAGAGACTGGTTTAGTCCAATGCATTTGGTGACTTATTAAGTCATACACCTGAAATTTGACTGCTGATTGAACTTAATGGATGAATGCAACTATGCACATCTACGGCCCAAAGACCATTAAATTGGAGGGGCTCACCTCCAAGTTGTTTTTGCTTTTTCCACATGGGGCAGCAAACGTAGAAAGAAAAAATAACTAATGGCAGCAGTTTGACACAACAGTAGGTTATGTTTTAATAAAACTATACAGGGCAGATGTAGTGAGTCTGGGGAGCATGGCTGTCTGTAGGGATGCAATTAGAAGAAGTTAGCAGAAATGAGCATTTTTAAATCCTGCCTTTGGGGGCACTACATGATAGGAGAAATTAATGATTCAGTGGTCTCAGAGCTGCACATGGTTCATAGAACACATTAGGGATTACAGATATTTAGGGTTTTAGGGCCAAGCGACTTTCACAGGGGCCCAGAATTTCTGCCTGTTGATTTATTTTGTGCACGTATACCCAACAACTCTACTTTGTCTTTTAATTAGAGTATGGCACTGCCTGCTTTCCTGATTTGTTTTGTTGAAAAAAACAATTTTAACAAACAATAAAATTGAAAAAAAAAAAATTATAAAAAAAAGAGAATTAATTACTATTTTGCAAATTCATGAGGATTGAGGTGTGAATGGCCGCATCACAAATGTGTGCTCAGCTACACGTCTGTGGTTCAACAAGGCTTAAGATACTCCACTACTCCGTCTGCCAGGTAGTTCCTTACACATTCATCTGGCACTTGTTTCATTTGACAGTGGTAGGTATTTTCATGGAAATGACATAATTAGACTAAATTAGTGGCCTCCAGTCCCCTAATTGTGTCAGAGATTTGTCTCAGCTGTGAAATTTCCCTTTTAGCTGAAGCTCAAATGAGGTGCAAAACTGTCATCTTTCTCTCCAGCCAGATAAAAGCCTCTGAATGTCTAAATGACATTTCACAGACAGCTCATAGCTGGAGAATTATGGGACTGTTAACCATTTTGTTCTGAAAGGGACAAGTGCTATAAAACAAGTTGTAGCATGTTTTTGACTGTATGCATCAATCTATTGATCGATCTTTATCGTTATTGATAGTTCATATACTACAGTACATATATTTACATTTACTTTAAGCAAAAAATGTGTTGTTAAAAACATTCTAATGCTTTTGGTCAGGTTTCATGTATGGTTTTGACTCTTTAAAGCTCTTAAAATGTGAATGTAAACATCTCTTTTCTTCACCTCTGAACAGGTATACAGTCAACATGACATATCACAGTTACATCATCACTTTCTTCTTCACCTGTTTCATTCTGCCTCTTGGAGTAATATTCTACTGCTATGGAAAGCTCCTGCGGAAGCTCAGGAAGGTTAGTATTAGTTCTAACACAACACATATGGAAATCAAAATTTTTCTGATTTACTATTTTCATTTATGCTTAGGTCATTTGTAAAATGTGCATAAAATATGATTACCCAGTGACTGTATTTCTCCTGTTTACATAAAGAGTGAGTGGTGGCTGATGTGAAATTGCATACAGCATTATAAATTTTGTTCAGATTAAACAAAAGAGAAATAACAGGTTAGTTTATAAGCTTTACAGATGCAGATCTCCATCCTAGTTGCACTAGTATGCTAAAAAGGTTACCCTGATTTGGGAATTTTTATTACAGGACATATAAGGTATTAGCCGGTCATTGCTGCTGATGTAGGTTCCTCCAGGACTATAGCTTCCTTAAGAGCCTGTAAAACCTGCAATAATGCACATTTTGTCATACATTCCCTTTCTCACTTTTTTGACCATGGTGTGCTTCAGGTAAACATGTTTTAATGTAAATATTGACACAGAATATGATATAAAGAAACAGACAAAAGTGCATTCCCATGGCTACAGATTGGAGCCATTAAGTAGGACATTATGACTATTATGGTTGTCTAAGAGTTGTTTTAAGGCTCAAGCATTTTTTTGAGAATGAAGATATTCTGAGTGTTTTTGAAAAGTTTGATTATATTTACAAGAATTTGGTATCAGCCCTGAAAAACCCATATTTGTGGTATAATTACCTGTCTGCTAAATTATAAAGGACCATACAACATTGTGATCTGTGTCCTCCAGGTGTCTCATGGTCGCTTGGCCACTGCCAAGAAGCCAGAGCGGCAGGTGACCCGTATGGTGGTGGTGATGATCGTGGCATTCATGGTGGGCTGGACACCGTACGCAGCATTCGCCATACTGGTCACAGCTCATCCAACCATTGAACTTGACCCCAGGATGGCTTCCATCCCCGCCTTCTTTTCGAAGACAGCTGCTGTCTACAACCCGATCATCTACGTCTTCATGAACAAACAGGTAACAGAGTTTCAAGTGAGAAATACCACTTGATTCATCCACTTCGATCCTGTCCTGCTTGATCTATTCAAGTAATTTTCACAATATTAGGACCAGACTAGTTAGAGCAGTGTAGAGCGCAGGTAGCTACAGTAAATTCCTTCCTTGACCAGAGTTGCGACACGTCACAGTATGCATCAGATGAAAGCTGCAGCAGAATACTAAGATGCTTTTTCTGTTGCTGTTGGGTGTTAGCCTGTCTATCAATAATGCATGGTGTATGAATAAAAGAAATGTGAAATCCAGAGAGTACAATTGTCCATGCGTGGCACTGTTAAAATATACATTAGCCACCTAAGGTTTGCTTGTGAGGCTTGCAATTGTAAAAGGCCCGGTGCTGACATTTTTCCTGCCATTTACTTTACTTTGTTTACATTGTGGTGTCTAGCTCTTTTCCTCAGTGTAAGTGAAACACACACTCTTTGGGTAATCGTTATTGACTGTACAGATATTGACTATAGGACAGAAGCCATTAGAAGAGAGTGATTATGTGCAGTTCTTTAACATATGACAGGATGTTTGGTTAAAAGGCCTGTACATAAGTTCCTATATTCCATTTGAATTTCTTTTTGACACTTTAAACCACTCTGCAATTCTTTTAGTTTCTCTGTAAACTGCTCCATGTACTCCTGTAATGAGTGATTAATAGTGTCCCACCAAAGATCTAAATAACTGTATTTAAGGACCATTAATTGGCAAATGTGGTAGCCTAACAGGACTCCTAATTGCTTTAGTAAATTAAAGCAGCTGGGCTAAAAAGGTCAGGCAGAGGTACTGCTGACTGTAAGACAAATCTACTGCTGGAGCCTGAGCAGAGTGTTTCAGTCATGTCCGATTAGATCATCATTTTTCAATTCAAATTAATTTCTCATCTTACATTACTTATACTCTCTAATTTTAGGATATTCACAGTAAGTGCATTGTTTGATATTGTTTAGTGTAATACACACAGAAATCAACAGTTGGAGTGGAGACATGATAAAAGCTTGTTCTACCTAGACTACATCTTGATGAGTTTGAGTGGACAAACACAACAAGATGGATGTGTAGTATGTGCAGTGGTTCATATACATGAGGGGGGAGCACAAACAAAACATTTAAAAAGTGTTCATGTGTGAATTATTGGAGACTTTATGTCCCTCCGACCCCCCCTAGGATGTGCCCAGGACTTTTATATAAAACTGAAGTCTCCTAAAGATCTCTAACAACCTTTTCATGTTAACACCTATTCCTCCATTGTCTGTGCCAAGTTTTTATTGTACATGACAGGTTTTAGTTTTTCAGTACAATTCTTTACAGTCCTGCCACTAGAGTGAACATTAAAACTGTCAAGGCCAGTTATGACAAACATGAATAAATATGAGACAGTACAATTTAAAGTGATCTATTTTCAGATAGGGGAAAATAAGTCTAACTTTACATGTAGGTGCTTTGCACAGCGCCTTGATCAAGCCTCCCTTGCCAGCTGCATGTCCATCTGATTGCCCCATTTCTGAGCTGCACCCGCTGTTTAAATGGGTCAGTCAGTGTCTCAACTAAGACATCGACTGGATTCAGCTAGCTAAGGACAGCTAGCAGGCAGATTGTGTTTTGAGTAGAGCTCCCACAGCTTCAGCCAAATTGCCACTGATTATAGAAGTCAGCTGACCTCTATTGCTTGATTGTGATATTTCTATCTCTCAAAGTTACAATAGAAGGTGAGTTGACCAAGAGTCTCTAGAGGATTCCCATGATGCATAGCTACTGCTGCTACAATTTTAGAGGGAGGCAGCCTCCTGGGATCTTTTAGGTCAAACAAAAGGTCAGGGTGAAAAAACATTGTAGAAAGATCCATTCATCACTTCTACTAGTATAAATCCATTTCACATGGGCCTTAAACAGACTTTGATCCCTCAGTGTCACACAGCTTGATCAATGAGAACGGCAAAGCAGAGAACTAAAAATAAAGCATTTAAGAAAATTAAGTCTGGACTGTTTTGACAGGATACTTATTATGATTTAAAATAATAGATTGATGTTTTGCCCACAAGGGCTTAGACGTGAGAGAAAAACTTTATTGATCCATTTTAGAAAATATACTTTGTTCTCCTCCTACTCCTGCAGCTAAAGACTGAGTTTTGTAGAACTCTTTGAGCACAAATACAATCTCGCAGTAAAACCATAATCACCACGAGAAGAGAGAATTCACTAAGCTGCGTGGAGAAAGCAAACCGATCCTGCAGCTGAGTTCAGCCAAACAAATGCTGCTTGTATAGAGTAGACAGTGTTGACGTCACTTTATCACAACCTGCACTAAATCAATCTGAGAAGCATCAGAACTGGAAAGGATCCGTATGCGAAACGGACAGTCAGTGGAATGAAATGTATTATTTATGAAACTATTATTTATGTGGATTTGTAGTCACCTCAAAGCTGTGTGAACTAATGTTTAAAGTTCAATAATGGAAAAAATGACAATGTGTAATGTGAAAGGCTTAACAGTGAAAAATCCAAAAGACCTGAATTCATGGTTCCATGGTGTTTTAGCATCTTTACTCATGTTTTGGTTTTATAGCCCAGAACTTATTTTGTCTTGATTGACTCTCAACAGTCTTATCTCCAGATGCTGGCAGTTCTAAAAAACCCACTGTGTGCTACCTGCCCAGCATATATATCCACCTACTCCACGACATAATAGTTTCCCCCTTATTAACCTTAGGGGGAAAAAATCCAATCAAACTATTAACTTTTAACTTTTACCCAGCAGCTGGTTGCTGCCTCAAATGTGTTTTCATGATCCCACAGATGTCTACTGTCTACCTGACAGTAAACCCGAAAATTTAATTTTTTGCTGTTCCACCCTTCCTGCATTTCTTTCCTTAGGCCAGGGCAGCCAGTGAATAGTTTTGCCCCAGGGAAAAAGGTTATCCTTTGGGGCAGAAAGCCAGAGAGATAATAAAAATGACTTTAAAGATACAACTTGCTGGTGAATAACAGGTAAACATAAACTTTGAGTAGGGAAACCAAATCACACAGTCACACTCGTACCACATGGAGTGTCAAGGTCACCAGGTCAGCAACCCACTGCAGACAGACAACTAGCTGGTGAACATAGTGAAGCATGGAGAGCCAAATATTAGCCTCAGGAGTGAGTGGAGACCAGGCCTATTAGATAAGATTGAGATAGAATTATTAATATAATAATAATAATAATAATAATAATAATAATAATAACAACAATAGAAATAATAATAATA